ATCCTGAGTTTAATTCCCAGTACCAAAAAAAAAAAAAGAATCACTGTGTGGCAGATTATTCTAGATAGAGGGTATAGTAGTCAATTTTCTCTGACTATAACAACAGACCTGATGCTGAGTGCTTTGTAAAAGAAAGGGGCTATTTAACTTATACTTTTGGAGGCTGTAAGTCCAGAAGGCATGGGCATAAGCTCCCTCTGGGCTTTTGTCACATTGTAGAAGACAACTGTGGGGCAGGTAGAAAAGGGAATAATCATGTGAAAATACAAAGTCAGAGAAGGATTCAGATTTTTGTTGTTCTTTCACAAGAACTGACTCAGGGGTCCTGTAAGAAGTGCCTTAACCCCTTCCCAGGGCGTGATGTCAGTGACCTAACATGATGTCACATGACCTAACCACTAGGCCCATCTCTGTTTTTGTTTATTAGTACATGTTTGCTATACATACTGATTATTCAATATAGCATATCTTAATTTTTTTAAAAAATCTGTTTGGTTGTTCCAGGGTCTCCATATATAGTGCAGCTCAGACTCATAGTGATCCTTTGGTTTTCAGCCTCCCCAGCGCTGACATCACTACGCCCAGACTCTGTGGCTGGCATGGCATGTGGCACTACAAATTGAACCGCTGTCCATGCGTGTGCCTAAGCAGGCGCATTAGTTCACTGAACTCACTGGCCCCCCACATTTTATTTTATTTAAATTCATCTTGTTCTTTCTTTCCTCTTCCCCCACATCCTCCCAGTCCCATTTCTAGTTTGCCTTTCCAATTGTAGGGAATTTGTCTTCCTATTTCATATTATCTTGTATTCTTTCTTTTAAAATCACTTATACTTTGCATTTTTCTAATAAGAAAAACCATTTTGTGCTTGTGTGTGTAATTTATTTCACTTAATGTTATGTTAAACATGTATCCATTTTCCTACAAATGCTGCAAATTTATCCTTCTTTATGGCTAAGAGATATCTCACTGTGTATTTTACTGCTATCCATTATCTGTTGATGGTTGTATAGGCTGCTTCCAAGATTTAGCTATTATGAGTTGTGCTTCTGTAAACATGGGTATGCATGTGCCACTGTAATATGATGTCTTTAACACTTTTGGGAAGAAAGCAAGGATTAAATGGAATTTTGTTTTAGTTTTTTGAAGCATCTCCATACAGATTTTCATAGTGGTTGTACTATTATACACATCCATCAACAATGTAAAAGGGCTCCTTTTTCCCCTAAGATTTGCCAGAATTTTACTGTTTGCTTTCCTGATGATAACCATTCTTTCTGAAGTAAAATGAAATCTGTTATTATAATTTGCATTTCTTTCAGATAGGCCTACCTCTTAAAGGTCTCACGCTTTCTTCACATTGCCACACGAGGGACCAAACTCCCAACACATGAACTTTTGAGGAACATACATAAACCAAGCTATAGTAAGACAGAATTTTTAGTAAGACATGATTTTTGCATTCAGAATTTCATAATCTGGTGTAGAACAAATTGAAAATAGATTAGTACTACGTAAAAAATACAACCATAGAAGCATACATGGAATTCAGTCACAACAGTGAAACTGCAGAATCTAGTTTAGCTTCACAGGAGGGATGGTTTCTTTTTTTTAAAATGTGTCTTTCATTTTTGTCAGCTACTCTTCCAACATATATAAAAAACTCAAAAAGCTTAACTCCAGAAAAACAAATCAATAAAGTAAAAATGAACACATAACTCTCAAAAGAAACACTAATGACCGGGGCCGGGGAGATGGCTCAGTGGAATAAGCGCTTCCCTGGCAAGCACAAGGGACTGAGTTCAATCCCCGGTTCCACACACACACACACAAAAAAGAAACACTAATGACCAATAAGTATGGGGGGGAAATGTTCAATATATTTAGCCATTAGGGAACTTGCAAATCAAAATTACATTGAGATTCCATCTCATCCAGCCAGAATGGTTATCATCAAGAATACAAAAAACAATAAAACCTAGCAAGGATAATGGAGAAAGAGAAACACTTCTACACTGTTGGTAGGAATATATATTAGTACAGCCACTATAGAAATCAGTAAAAAGATTCATCAAAAAACTAAAAATAAATAAATACCATATAACTAAGATATACCTAATTACTAGGTATATAGCCAAAGGAATTAGAGTCAGCATATTAAAAGGATACTTGCATACCTATGTTTTATTGGGGCACAATTTGCCATAACCAAGATATGGAGCCAATTTAGTTCCCACTAATAGATAAGTGACTAAATAAAATGTTTTAAAACATTATAATCATATAATCATTATGTTTTAAAGCATTATATATTTGTAAATTAAGCCATAAAGCAAAACTAAATTATGTTATTTGCAAGAAAATGGATGGAACTGGAGAGCATTGTATTAAGTGAAATAAGCTAGACTCAGAAACACAAGTATGTTTTCTTTAATATGTGGATTCTAAAAACGGATTACGTGAAAGTAGAATCTGGACATTAGACAAACAACACAATAAGGGGGTCAGGAAAGAGGGATACAGAGGAGAGTAATGAGAGAATGGATATGACCAAAATGTTATGTGTATATGAAAATATCACATTGAATCCAAATATCTTATAAAATTAATATGCTCTAATAAAACATATTTTAGAAGAATAACTACAAAAAATGTCTCTCTAGCTGGGCATGGTAGCATATGCCTGTATCCCTACACTGAGGAGACTGAGGCAGGAGGACAGTGAACTCAAAGCCAACCTGGACTACATAGTGAAACCTTACCTTGAGCAACTGAAAACAGGAATGCATCTCTGCATATAGCCATGCTGCATTGCTGGACTACACCAGGCAGGAGGAACAGGAGAGAAAAAGTTTGAGAGAAGTCAGCCAACAGGAGCTGAGCAGTGTAAAATCACCTCTTTCTTTGGGAGCTTGTATAGTTATGAGTAACACTAACAATTATCTGTCATTTATTGAACACATGGTATGCACTCAATGAAGGGTTTCTAAACTGCCCTCTTTTTGCTGGTGACAGCAATCTTTGAGTGACATCAGTTATTAGCTACATGTGAAAAGATGAAGACACTTTAATTGAGTGACTAGCCCACGGTCAGAAGTCAGTACCTCTGAGTCAGGACTTGTTCTCAGATCTGGCTTCAAAAAAGTAACAGCCATAAAGTAGATTTGCCATAAAGCCAATAAAGGTTCAATTTAGGGTTTCTTACTTGCTAGACCCCTGTAAATGCTGGAAATCAAGACAGTTCCATGTAGAAATGGAAAATGGAATTATAGCTAGAAAGCATTTTTAGGTAAACATTTCTGAGGCCTAAAGAAGTCTCAGAAGCAAAATTCTATTAATTTCTTATAGTTTATTTTTTAACTGTAAGTAAGCACTCAGTTTTATAAATCAACAATATCGGAAAGATAAGTTCAACCATCAGAGAAAGCTATAAAAGAAAATAGTATGCTTATGAACCATTGCATATAATTTTGTATTGCTGAATCATGACATGAGAAGAGTCACAGGAATTTGAACTAGTCAGAGATCTTACATTGAGACATTCTAACTAATAATGTACATGTAATTATATGATAGTCTTTTTTTTTTTTTTCCCCAGAACCGGGGATTGAACTCAGGCCCTTGCGCTTGTCAAGGAAGCGCTTATTCCACTGAGCCATCTCCCTGGCCCCAAAAATGGCAGAAGGATTTTTTTTTTCTCCAAATGCCTTCAGGGCAGGTTTGGCTGGCTTGAGTTGTGGGGATCAAACCACAGCAGCCTGAGCCTTACTGCTTTGTTGAAGCAGCCACTTAAAGAACTGAACTAAGGGGCAGGCCCCCTATGATAGTCTTAAGAAATGTGAACTTCATCCTATTACAGTCCTCACCATCAATAGTAAATAAGAATTGATAGGTTTTGAAAAGGATAAAGTATCTTTGTTTCTTAAAGCTCCAAGGCTGGGGAGATAGCTTAACAGCATAAATGCCTGTCTGGCAAGCACAAGGTCCTGAGTTCTATTCCTGGTGCCCACTGCCCCCAAACACTTTCTGCACAGCTAGGAATGCTATAACCAGTGAAAAGCTATAGAAAGGCTTTTCTAAACAAGGAAGTGACATAACCAAATGTGTACTATAAAAGTTAATTCTAGCTTAAATGGAGGAGGTGGGAGGGCTATAATAGTCCAGCTAAGAGATGATATTTGAAATGATCACACAATATTTCATCACATTAATTTTTCAGTTTTGCAGTATGTATGTATATGTGTGTGTGTGTGTGTGTGTGTATTTTCAGTTACTCAAAAAACCGTATTTTAACTTCTTTGATGTTATTTTCAATTATTTTACTAGGACAGAAACCCTAGGAATAATTTTTTTTGGCCCACACAGCTGGCATAGCATGTGGTGCTGGGGATCAAATACTGTCCCTGCACTTGCGTAAGCTTACCTAAGCAGGCACTTTAGGCCACTGAGCTATCTCAACCCCAGGAATAATTCTACTGGGTCAAAGCAGATGAATAGTTTTGGCTCCTATCTATGAATTATCATAATGGTTAAAACAAATTTATAATTTTAATTTTTTTTTTTTCAGTATTTTAGGGAAGGGTCTACAGGCTGTTCAGGGTCTCACTACTAGATCAGAATTAGTACTCACTACTAGAATCAGTAATGATTCTCCTGTTTATGGCCTCCCAGTTACTGGGTTTACAGGTGCACGCAACCATGCCCAGTCTCAATTGCCACCTCAGTATGCCCAGGGGCAGGCAGGGCTGGCACAGCAGGCTCAGGGATCGAACCCCTGGCCCCTGGGCCTGCTTGCAGGCGCTTTAATCCACTGAGCTAGGCCGGCCCTATAATTTTAATTTCTATGTGATAGACCAAACATAACCTTTATAAACATTTTGTTAGGTTCAATAAAAGAAGAGCAATGGTGCTTTAGATTAATTTTATTTTCTTGGCAAAAACCAAAACAATGTTTATATTATTTACAGTAACAATTTGGTAACTACATTTATCTTTAATAGATTGATGAACTCCCAGAGGGAGCTGTGAAGCCTCCAGCAAACAAATATCCTATCTTCTTTTTTGGCACCCATGAAACGTAAGTCAACAAAATAATGTAAAGCTATAAGAGCTCTAATTTGAACTTTGCCAGACTTCATTGTTTGTAGATTATTTATGATATTTTATATGTTGTTAAAGTCATAACCTGTTACATAAAGTTCTAAGTTTAAAATGTGTTTTTCCTATTGCAAAGACTTTTCATTCAGAGAAGTCTTTATGACTAAAAGCACAACTTTGTTTTTGGGTGTCATTTCTGGTTCTACTTAAATACTACACATCGTTTGGAGGTCTTTTTTAGGACACTTTTAAGTTCTAAAGTGGTTCCTTTACTACTCCCAGTTATTTCTCATGTAGCTTATATGTATTTCCCCTCTAGAGAAATTTCTTCCATTCGTATTTCAGAAAACAAAGTTATGAGATTTATCCAACTTGCTAGACTCTTAAACATATCTTTTGAAGGTCTTCTAATTGTATTAATTAACATAAAAGTTCAAATAGTATAGACATGTATTCCCTTTTAAAATATTGCAGGAACATAAAGATCAGAATGGTAAACTACTTACTTTGGAGTCCTGGGTTCCTCCTGTACTCACTACCCTTATCTGCCTAATTGGAAGAGAAAAAAAACCTGTTTCCGCAGTATACGTACATCTTGTAGCAAGAGGGAAAGAAAAAAAGTAAAAGCAAAGAATTTCTTGTAAAGGAATGACAGGAAGTTGTATATGTGACTTCTGCTTTTCTTTATTCCATTGGAAAGAACTTAGTTATGTGAACATACCTAGCTGTAAGAGAAGCTGCAAAATGTCTCTAGCTAGGCAATACTAAAAACTTGAGAGAAGTAATCAATGAATGAATGAATGAATGAATGAATGAATGAATGAATGAAAAAACTGGGGGGACTGTTGGCAACCTTTGCTATTAAGAATGGATATGATTATTTGTAAAAGCAACATAGTATAGAAATAATAAACATAAGGGAAAACTGTAAACTATCAAAAAGCTAGTAAGTCTTTAAATTTAGAGTCATCCTCTCTATTTGTATGTTAGTAGAACTTTGCAAGCCCTTTCTTAGCATGTCTCTGCCGCTCTTGACATTGTCTTCAGTTTTGTTTTGAAAAAGCCAGAAGAGGATTTCCAAGACAAAGTTCATTCTTCATGTGAGAAATACTTCTTTCAGGAAGTTAGTTTGTGGTTATCATTTGACTTGGCATTTGAGGGAGCTTCATTTTGTTTCATTTTCATGCTAGGGATTGAACGAAGGGCCTCAAGCGTAGTAGGGAAGCCTGTTTCCACTAATTTCCATTTGCAGTCCTATTTTTATCTAAGATGTACTGTGATATATGCAGCTTCTGATGTTTTCCTTCTTAGAGAGGTTGCTGAAAATGTTTTACTTACAATAAATACAAAGAAGGGCCAGCCAAATAGCTCAGCAGATTAAAGCACCTGCTTAGGCAGACACAGTGGCCAGTGTTTGCTCCCAGGCATGCTGAGACAGTGATTGAGATTGGGTGTGGTGATCCATGCCTGTAATTCCAGCTGTTTGGGAGGCTGAACACAGGCAGATTACTATGAGTCCAATCTAGGTAGTGAAACTCTGTAGACCCTTACTAAAAATAATAACAATAACAACAACAATAATAATAAATACAAAGAGCTTTGTAATTACATATTTTTTATGTTTGCCTTAATCCTAGCCCCATTTTATGTATGTATTTGTGATCAGTTTGTTTCTGGTACAAGGCAAGATGTAGTAAAGCCATGACATTTCCACTGTATGCACCAAAATTAGCCATTTATTAACACTGTGTTACTTTTAGTCTTTTAGTAGATGTCTTTTTTAGGCATTCTGTAAGATACTAGATATTTTTAAATACACTTAAAGAGCTTACCCCTGCAGATATGACTTATGAATGCAATAGAATCATCCCATTGAACAATGTAAAGGATCTTCTAGAACTGTCTCTTACAGCATTCTTAGTATAAGTCCATGGCATCAAGCCAGGACTCAAATCAATAAAAGCCACTCTACCAAGGATCTGTATCATACAGTTTATATGTGGCTTTTTTCCTTCTGGCTTGATCATCTAGAGACAGATTTTAAAATACCTGAGAGAATGAACTTCCAAAACATTGCAGTAGTATCGTATCTGCTGAACTATTCTGAGTGCTGGGTATCCCTGAACCCAGGATGATACTGACTCTTTCTTTGAGGCAGGCATCGTGTCAGTGTTCTTACCCTATGTACAGTACTTAGCTCAGCATGTGCCTATGTGGACATTCTACAAAATAGCTGTTGAATGAATTAAAATTAATTAAATGAAATAAATGAAGAGAAGGATAGTAGACAAAAGATGAGGAACTTAACAAAAATGCTATGTTCAGGTGAGCTGAAAGTGTACTCCAGGGAGGACCACAGTTCTCCTCAGGACAAGACATTGAATCTGTTAAACCACGAAAGGATAAGTGATTGGAGATTCACGTTCTTCTCTATATAACATTACTCCAGTAAGTATAGTCTGGACAACTTTCAAGGAAGTCTTTGCTAGAAATAATAAAATCTTGAAAGCATATAGAGTTGAATAATTTTATTTTCTACTCTAACCTTTAAGATTTGGAAAACATACAGCAAAGTTAACCAATTGAGAGGGAATTTGGTTTATGATATCAGTAATCCAAGGAAAAAGCAGGATTGTTTATAAAAAATACAAACTTGTCTTAGAAGAGTTCATTCATGATCTTTCTGGCAGTAGCTAACACAGCTAATCATTAGTTATTCCTGGTGAATGATAATAAAAGTGTATCATTTATTCATAGAGAATGCTTCCTGGTCTCTGGAAGCAGTTAGAGATGCACCTTATACATCTAAAGGTAATATTAAAAGCAAGTTCAACTAGTCACAGTAATACATACCTATAATCCCAGCATTTAGGCTACTTAGTGAATTACAAGATTTTGTCTCAAAATGAAAAGCTTAGTTATGTAGCTCACTGGGAAGTCCCTGGACTCAATCTCCATTTTTAAAAAAAGGAAGGCCAAAAATTGTTAAATTGGACCCACTCACCCTGACTTTTTTGTCAGAGCAAAAGAGTGGGGCCTCTTCTGTTTCTCAGAGACACTAGTCATCTCCTGCCTCAAAGTCTTTGTACAGGCTTTGCCCTCTTTAGCTTTCTGTCCTTAGTCCCTTGTAGGTGAGCCATTCCCTGAGCTTCATATCTAAACTGGTAAAATTTCACCCCAGTCCTTCCCACCTTCTCTTCCTTTTCTTTTTTAGTAGCTATGTTTCATTTATTAATCATTTTGTTATCTTACCACTAGAACATATGCTCCATGACAGCAGAGATGTTTGTCTCTTGTTCTCTGTAAAATCCCCATCACCTCTGAAATAGTGCCTGACACATTATAGATGTTTATCTTTGCTAAATGAATAAATAAATCTTAGTTTGAAATGTAAGCTTCAGGATATAAGCCAGAATTTATGCTTCCCTACTGTCATTTAGGGTCATAGGCAAAAATGCTAAAGATTCTGTATCAAATACATATATTACACCAGAATTTATTCTAACTGATGCTAATGGTTATAATTAATTTAAAGTAAGTTTAAAATTGGATAATATTATGTTCACTTTGCCACTTTTGATTCCCCCCCCCCATGGTACCAGGGATTGAACTCAGGACCTTGCACTTGCCGGGCAAGCACTTATTCCACTGAGCTATCTCCCTGGCCCAGATTTTTTATTGCATAGTGCTTTTTATTTGTTTTGTACTGGGAATCAAACTTGTGCTTGCCAGGCAAGCACTTGTGCCACTGAGCTATATCTTCCTCCCCTCCTAGTGCTTTTTAAAACACTAATAAGCAGAAATCATAGTACACAACTATAATCCAAGCAGTGAGGCAGGAGGATCACCATGAGTTTGAGGCCAGCCTGGACTATATAGTGAGTTCAAGACCAGCCTCCACTATAAAGCAATGGTCTGTCTAAAAAAAAAAAAAAGAATTAATAAATAAATGAATATAAAATCAAAGTAGGGCAATCCATGTTTGCTGGCTTATATACTAAGAGATCCATTTTTTTTCTGACTTTAAGTGTGTATCTAAAACATCTTGTGATATGTGCCTAATTCAGAAGGCTTTTTATACTTTCAGTTGCCTTATTATACTGTCCTCCAGTACCTCAATGGATATTTACAATTAAGGTATCTTCTGTTTGGAAATGAGCATGTCAACTCTAACTTCTCTCTGCAGTGCATTTCTAGGTCCCAAAGATCTTTTTCCATATAAGGAATACAAAGACAAGTTTGGAAAGTCAAACAAACGGAAAGGATTTAACGAAGGATAGTGGGAAGTAGAAAATAACCCAGGAGTCAAGTTTACTGGTTACCAGGTAATGATTTACTTCTTTGGCACTTGCTATATCTCATTTCCTTGGTTTTACCATTTCTTCGTATTTTTTATAATATGTCCTTTTACACTAATAATTACCTTTCATCTTTTTGAAGTCAGCATTATTTTTGGCTCTCATAATATTTTGGGCTAAATGCAACTCTTACCCAGGAAGGGTTCAAGTCAAGTGGCCACTAAACAGTTGAGTTTGACAGCCACTGGTTGACTGACCGAGGGAGAGTCTTGCTGTATTGCACTTCTGGGTTGAAGCCATATTCTGCATGGGTGAGATTGCAGGTGTTTGTCACCTGGCCAAGCTCTCTCAGTCCTTTACTTTGAAAAACTTCAGAATAAATAGAACTCTTTCAAATTAAAATACAGTGATTATTTTCACAGCCTATGTTCCTTGCTATTTTTTCAGAAATGTAATTAGCTAAATTTTTTCCTCAGGCAATTCAGCAGCAGAGCTCTTCAGAAACTGAGGGAGAAGGTGGAAATACTGCAGATGCCAGCAGTGAGGAAGAAGGTGACAGAGTAGAAGAAGATGGAAAAGGCAAAAGAAAGAATGAAAAAGGAGGCTCAAAACGGAAAAAGTCATATACTTCAAAGGTTACTTGAGAAACTCCCTGTAGTTATTAATGTTACATGCATAATCACTGAAAGTTTTTAGGTTATTTTCAATTTTTTTACTGGACACACAGAAATATATAGTAGATTCTGTGGAGCCCCTGCCTTTAGGGACAATAGAGCAAAGGGAGTCAGACAGGTAATCTTAGATGTTAAATCAGTCTGGCTCCCTACTCTTAAAGGCTGACTTGGTTCTGAAACTGCCACTTCCTTAGATGGCGAAGGACTGTTACTTATTTAAGGATAGAATATATAAGTATCTGTGCCCCCTACAGTAACCTCCAGATGAGCTCTGAAGAATTTAGGAAAATAGGAGACAGTATGATGCAAGACTGTCTGTGTACCATATGTGTAAGTAACAGATTCTTATATCTCTACTTTAGAATGTGCTTTGGCTTTTTGTTTTCTTAGTTCTTACATTTCCTGATCACTTAGCCTATGCCAGAGTTTGAACTACAAGTCTGTCTCAGTTCCTTTGCTCGTACAAAGTACAGTATAATGGGAGGGGGCCGACAGTAAACAAAGAACCAAAAAGTAACTGTTAATTGTGAAAGGGCTATGAAGTAAGTGAATGGGAAGATGAAACACCTACGTTAGAATAGCCAAGCCTATCTGCAAAGGTCAGGCTTATACTGAGACCTGAGAGAAGGGTAGAGAAGGAGTCTTACATAAAAAATTTGTGTGGCAAAGAGAAATAAACAGAGCTGCAAAGTGTTTGGCATGTTCCTACATTGAAAGAAGGTAGGCATCACAGGAGAGCCATGATTACAGGGGAGAGGCAAATGAAAGCCAAGCCATGCAGACCTGTAGGCCATACTATAAAGTTTGGAATTTATTCCAGGTCACAGTAAGGTTTTAAACAGTAGTAACATGATACTGTATTTACAAATTGAAAGTCCAGGTTTCATTTCAGAAATGTAATTAAAAATGCTGAGAATTTGAAAATTGATCACTTTTTAAAAAATGAAGCAAGATAAATGAATCTTTGAAGACCAAAGATTGGTTGGTTAAGTTTTTCTCTGCTCTGTCACATGACTGAATACTTGGAGAAGTTACTTCTACTTCAACTCTTATATTAGTGGCTGATATACTTAGGGAACTCCTTGAAAACAAGTAATCAGACTTTTAAATTTTTATTTTGGTAATCAGTAAAATCTAACCTGCTGGCATGCAGTAAAATTGTGTGAGTGCAGCATTTTTCCCATGTACCCAGTGAAGAGCATGGGATTGCTTTGGACAGGCATCAAGTTTGCAAATGACAACAAAATAATCAAAGTTTTGTCTACTGAGCTATGTCTTCTTTTGCAGTTATTTTTAAGCTACATTTCTTTTCCCGTTTTGGGCTTCACTTAAATACTCACTTCAACTGAATTATTATTGCCTGCTCAGCCCTGTATAATATGTTGTGTGTCCCTAAATTATCTAGCTACCTAAACTTTTGACTTCTGGTTACATGCATGTTAAATATTATTGAAGTAAAAAGATAAATATATATATTTCACTTACTAAGGTTTGTCTACTTTAAAAGATCATTTCCTTTGGTTTTTGGGGGTGTTTTTGTTCTTGTTCTCAAGATCATAACCTCCATGATCATGGGAGAACTGTGACTTGGTTTTTCCAGGGCTTGGTATTGAACTCAGATTTCATGCGTGTTAGGCAAGTACCCAGAGTCATGACTTCCTATTCTCAATTCTCTCCACAATTGTGGCCATAAGCCCAACTGAATGAGAACCAAATCAGATTTCCTTGTAAGGTCAATATGAAACTGTGGAAAGAATTAAGTTCATGATCTGAGATACCACTGTTGTTTCTTAGATAACAGTAAATATAACTCCATTCCCATGTGAAGGTCTCCTTGTGGCTTTTAGGGGAGTCTTTTTGTTTTCTTTCCTCCAGAGGCACAGAGAAGACAGATCATTTTCCTTGTAGTCTGTCTTCATGGGATGGGTTTTTTTGTTGGTTTTTGTTATTGTTGTTGTTTTTCTAATTTTCACTAAAAAATACCCTGGCTTTATACAGAGATCTCCACTTTATCCCCAGTCATCTGGAGGTCCTGGCACTTGTCTGCCTGTTTTCTGGGCACAAAATGAAGCCAAAGGGTCTGGGAATCAAGGTGGCAGGTGAGGCTTGTCCTGCTGATCTGGGAACCATACTTGGAGGATCATTTACCTAGCATAACTCCATTGTTTTTGTTTTTTTTTTTGCTTCCTAAATATTTTCCTTTTTATTGAGTATGCTGACTTTTTTTTTTTTTACATCTCTATTTTTACATAAAGGCCTTCCTTTGAGTTGAAACTACTAGTTTATAGAATTTTTAAAAACATCTCAGGTGGAAAGGAAAGGTCCTAAATCCTCTACCTCACTTAAACTTTAGTTTTCTATTAACAGGTTCACGACAGTCATAATTCAAATGTCTCCCTGCATGGCAGCTCAGAACCATTGCTAGTACGTGGATATCCATGCCATCATGCAGCATGGGATAATCATACGTGTACCAGCAGTGGTTCAAGTCAGTGTGAACATGTTTTTAAAAACAAAGCTCAGTCATCACAATGAAAAGTCACAGTATAGCAAATTTGAGGGTAATTATATCTCTCTTTAGCAGTAAATGAATGATTCAGATCTGAGATACACTGGATACTAGAAAATTATCATTCAAAAATATTTTGCATTCAAATTATTTACATATAGTAAGGTAGATCAGCCTCAAAGCAAACTAAACATTATGCTAAAACACCAATTGTTTAAGACAAATATAGCAACAAGTAGATGAACAATAAATTTAAGATCATAGTAATTTTTATTTATTTTAAACAATGATTGAGAAAACATTCTGAAGGCTGGTGAGATAGCTCAGTGGACTAAGTGCCTGCTTAGGCAAGCGCAGGGACCAGGGTTCAAACCCCAGCACCACATGCTGCACCAGCCCCATTCCCCTCGGCTTGGTGGCACACGCCTGTAATCCCATCACTGGGGAGGCTGAAAACAAGAGGATCACTACAAGTTCAAGCTGTGTAGTGAGACCCTGTACCAAATACATGAATAAATAAAAAAACAAAAAACATTTTGAGAAATTCTTTGATTTCAAGAGCTCTTTAAGGTTATAGTTTGGCAGCCCAGTTTCTTAGAATAATGAATATTGTGATTCATTAGAAGTATAAGAATACCCTCACTCTGGGCTTTGTGTAGCAACTATAATATTAGAAAGTCATGGGGGCCTGCCCCTTAGCTCAGTTCTTTAAGTGGCTGCTTCAACAAAGCAGTCAGGCTCAGGTTGCTGTGGTTCGATCCCCACAACACAA